AGAGAGAAGAACTGGCTACTACTCCAGTTGGAAGTGGACCTCAGCAGCATCCATATGGTACTGGTTTTAAGTGAATGGAGAGTGTACAAGTTCTGAGGTTAAAGAATCTTCTACCCTGATTTCCGAAGGCCTGGGTGGCAAAGCAGTATGCCACTGAAAGGTTAATATGTGAAGCCATGAGTGTGAAGCCAGAAGAGCAATGGTGAACTCAGAAGTTTGGAAATCCAGGAACATGGATAATCTAAAGAAATCTGTAAGAATTGAATAGAATGTGCCTAAGAGATGAGCCACAGGAGCTAAAACCTCTGGAAGCACCATGAGAGTGGAGCCACCCAAGCCTTTTGCAGCTCACAACCAGATTGCTTCAGATGGTGATTGTGGAACTGCAGGACTTTGCTCTGCTTGATTTTGGACTCACTTTGTTTCCAATGCTTTGTATTACCTTTTTGCAACTTTTGGAATGTTAATGTTTATTTTGTGCCATTGTACTTTGGAAGTGTTTAATTTTGTTTTCATTTATACAGGGGTTTGCCTTAGATCTCAGAGGACATTTGAGACTTGCACTTTTCAGCAATGCTGAAACTATTAGAATGTTGGCAACCCTTGGAGATAGAACAGATGTCTTTTATATAAAAGCATGTACATGAGTCTTTGGGAGACCAAGGGTGGAATAAAATGATTTACACTCAGATGCCCCCCTCTCCACAAGCCTCATATAATCATGGATGCAGCTGTGTCTGGCATTCATGATTCATTTGTTGTCTGGTATTGGGATTGGTGGTGTGATGCTGCACCCACCCAGGGGTGGTGCCAGTGTATGGTATAAGGGCAGGAAGTAGGTATGTTTTTTCCTCTTTTGATGTTCACTCTTTCTGTTTGCCATAGCCGTGAATGGCTGCCCTGCCATGCCATCCTGCCTTGGAGCCAGCTGAGTATGGACTGAAATGTCCAGTATTGTAAGAAATAAACCTTTCTTTGCTTCATTTTGGGCATTAGGTATTTTATGTCAATAATGAGATAAAAGTAATCAAGACACATACATACCAATCATTGTACCAAAGTATTCCATAGCTAACTCCTGGAAGCAGCCTATATACCATCAACAGATGACTGGATGAAGGAAGTGTGGTATTTATATAATGGAATTCTATTAAGCTATAAAAAATGACACATGAGACTTCTGTAGGAAAATGGATGCACTTGAAAATATAACATTGACTGAAATAAATCAGACACACAAGCCTAAACACTATATGGCTTTTCTTGTTTGAGTGATGCAAAGTATACAGAAAATGATAAAAGATAAATAGAAAGTGAAAAAGAGATAGATCTCTTGCAGTTGGCATGTAACCAAGGGAATAAGAGTAAGGAATAATATGAAAGCATGCAGATATATCTGATTTTGGTAAGTTTCCAGTTTTCCAATTAACATTGAATTCACTAGTCTTCATGTTTTTAATTGACTGGAAATGGAACAACAATCATATGGTCATAAATTTATGATTATGGCAAAAGTTTGTTAGAAATAAATTATTTTGCCCTGTTGATGCTATATCTGAAAAATTAATATTTTCATCCACTACTCATGGCATAAATTACTTTTAATTAAATATGTTAATTTTATAGATGAGTTTTATATCTCTGATTTTTAGTAAGCTTACTCTTAATCAACATCATTTATGAAACTAATTTCCATCACAGAACTCTAAAAAGATTTAGAGAGAAGTAAAATCTGATGTGTCAAAAGCTCTTCCATGAAATTGGTGTATGCACATGGCTCTGATCTCAGCCATAGGTTTACTTGGTCACCTCTGTGTGTCCCTGCTCCCCACGGCATATGGGCAGCCTGGAGAGCTGCACATAAATACTGCTCTGCTGCATGCTAGTAACTCTGGGAATACACATCAACCTACAGGGTGACCTCCTCCTCAATTAGGAAGAAGTGTATTTATAAATATGAGTAACAAAGAATGTGCTAAAGATTACAAATAGAAAACCATAAATACATTTGGCACAACTGATTTCATCACCTTTTCCACCAGTTCCACAGCTCACCTTTTTCTAAAATGTAAACTGAGCAGTGACTTCTGTTGCATTTCAGTGGGAATGGGACTTCAGCCACAGGATAAGAAACTGCTGGTTGATCCATTGCACCATGAGAACTCTCCATGACAGATTCCCAAGATAAAGGGTCCTGCTTCTGGCAGACAGGGTCATCTGGACCATGCAGAAGCTGGGGCCTATCGATGCATCTGCCACATGGTCATTTTTTTCAGGCTTCTGGTGAGTTTCCCTGATGTCTCCAGTGAAAGATAGGGCATGGGAGATCAGAGATAGCAAAGTCCTACATTAGACACAGAACTAAACTGTAAATGGTATATAAGATACAAATAATACTAATGTGTTGCTGCCCTCTCAGGAGAGGATTAAAATGTCAAATTTCTGAATGTTCTCCATGTGTCAAGCAAGTTAATCTTGTTGGCTTCCATCCTATGAAGCAGACACTCCTTGGATGGCTGTCTCCAGATGGGAACACTGAGGTGCAGCATTTACCCAGCTGCCTCAGATTTACAAGGTAAGAAGTAGCTGAGGTTGACTGTAATACACTCACAGGTGACCTCCATCGAGAATCTAGGTGCTGAACTCCTTTGACACTGCCTTTCTCTCTTTCATCTTTGGCTAAAGCCATAATCTTGCTTAAAAAGTTATAAAAGATCTAGTTAACTTATTTTTTATGCTTAGCAACATGTAGCATATTTTGTGATTGTATGTTTCTAAATCTCTCATCATTGTATATATCCAGATTATGTTTAAATTTTTGCAGTCCCTTTGTCTTAAATTTTACTGAAGAAAGTTAAATACCAGACTTTCATATATTATGGGAAACAGAAGGGCATAGCATAAAAAGACACCCTAAATTCCATTTAGAATGTAGTATGCCTCTTATGCATTTCTTCACTGTACTGTTTTATTTTATTGTAACATTTACTTTTGAGTTTATTTTTTAAAAAACTATTTTAATTGTATAAATTTATGAATAATAATATGATAATTCCACACACATGTAGACCATATAGTGAATCTAGTCCAGGCAGTTAAGACTTCCACAACTTTTAAACTGAAATTTAAATAATATCTGAAGTTTGAGACCTAATATTTAGGTACTATTAAAATCATTAGCTAAAGTCTTATATTTGGATTCAAAACATTAAATTATACAACATAAAATTTTTTCTTTACAGCAATATTTGGAGTTTTGTTTGATCAAAAGTTTAATTTGCCCAGCTAAAAACAAAGATTGAGATGTGTTTTAGTAAACATATGCAGGCCATAGAGGTTCACTGTTTCCTTCCACAGTGTTCTTTACTTATCTTGCAACACAAGGAATTGAGACAATAGTAAACCCTGTTGTACCTGGTGAAGGTCAAAGAGGTTGGCATGGGAATGTAGACCAGGCAGTGTGAGGAAAGTGGAGCAGGTGCTCAGGCTGGGATGGCAAACACAAAAGTCATGCATGGTGGCACACAGTGAGCCTATTTAGTAAAACCCCATCTCAAAACCAAATGTGAAAGACACTGTGCATAGAGCTAAGTGGCAGCATGTTTCCCTAACATGTGTGAGGCCCTGGCTTCAATCTGCACTACTATGAAAAACAAAACAAAACAGCAAAAAAGGAGCATATTTAATAATAAAATCTAATGTTTTAAGAGACAAAGAATATGCTCAGTTTTTCAAATGAAGAAAACAGTGTTTTAGAGAGAAGTACATTTGGATTTTGAAAAGTTTCAATGTAGATGTTGTAGTTATGGACTCAGGAATGGGCATACCTGGCCCAGGGAGGGACATGGTGCAAAAGGAGCAGGACAAGGTGCGGGGTGGGGGAGGGGCAGCAGTGTTCTGTTTCTTGACTTTGGTGATAATTTTGAGAGTGTTTCCGTGAATTCTCCAAGTTTACTTTTTGTTTTAGGGTCTATATTGACTTTTGTACTAACACTGGTATTCATGGATTTTGAAAAATAAAGACATGTTGCATTGAGTTAGTCTGTTATTTTAGAAGAAAGCAAGAAGCCAGTGTCTGGCTGTAGGAGGCAGCTCCTTCAGGCAAAGGTAGGGAAGAGCACTGATAAAGGACAGTGTCTACTCCCCATGCAGCTCACATCCCACCACTGTGGCTTTGAAACAGGAATCATGTGAAACCTCCAGCGAAGGGCAATCTGTGAAGTACAATGCAGGATTCATAACTTCTGAGATCCATTTGAAATTTGAAATTTATGCCTTTAGATTCTCAATGCCATCCCAACTTGTAAGCATGAAAACTGCCTGGTATATTTGTAATCATAGCATTTGGGAACTTAAGCTGTCTTGTGCCTTTGAGTTTTCACGCCACAGTTGCAACACTGCAGTTGTACATGTTTTGTTTTGTTTTCAGTCTTTTTGAGACAAGGTCTTGCCATGCAGTTCAGGCTAGTCTTGGGCTCACTTTGTAGCCCAGAATGGTCTCAAACATACAGTCCTCCTACCTCAGCCTCCCAAGTCCTGGGATCACTGGGGCACACTGTCATTCCTGGCCAATTATACATGTTTTGTGTACCTAAGTATCTCTGTGCCTTTTAAGAGTCAGGCAAAGTTACTTAAAGTGACAAATAATGCCTTAGTTTGAAGAGGGAACTTTTTTATAAAGTATATCTAGCTCTTAAATTTATGTAGCAGATCTGATGGCTCTACTATTGCATCATGCACACAGAACTATGGGTGACATGATATACTGAGCCTTTTGAACAATATACACTCAGCATGATGGACTTAACATATCACTTTGGAAATTAATAAATGTAGATTCTGAATGCACTGATGACAGCAGAAAGAGGATGTGCTACAGAATGAAATATGCAAACAAGTACATGCTATGTATAGATAATGCTTTCACAAACTGTCCTGTCTACCTAGGGCTGACACTATTTGTTAGAATGGTGTTATCTCCCAGCCTTTCATAAGGAGCAATGGAAACAAGCAATGGAAGTTTGGGAACAGACTTCATCCTTCTGGGGTTTTCCAATAGACCCAAACTAGAACGCATCGTCTCTGTGCTTGTCTTCATCTTCTATATTGTGGCTCTGGTAGGAAACTCTATCATCATACTTGTGTCTTACCTAGACCCTCAGCTTCGCACGCCCATGTATTTCTTTTTATCTAACCTGTCTTTTCTGGACCTCTGTTATACAACTAGCATTGTCCCACAGATGCTTATAAACCTATGGGGAACAAACAAGTCCATCACATATGCAGGATGTGTGCTCCAGTTCTTCTTTGCTCTGGATTTGGGAGCCACGGAATGTCTTCTCCTTGCGGTGATGGCCTATGACCGCTACGCTGCTGTCTGTCAGCCTCTGTACTACACTGTGATAATGCACCCTCAGCTTTGTCAGAGGATGTTGCTGATCTGCTGGCTGGGTGGTCTTGGCAGTGCCATAATTCTTTGTTTCTTGACTCTGAAATTGCCAAGGTGTGGCCATAGAGAAGTGGACAATTTTTTTTGTGAGATGCCAGCATTGATCAAAATGGCTTGTGTACATTCCAAAATAATTGAGTATGTTGTCTCTGCTCTTGGAGTTGTATTTCTTCTAGTACCTGTATCCTTAATTCTCATCTCATATGGAGTCATCACTCAAGCTGTAATGAGGATCAAATCATCAGCAAGGTGGAGAAAGGCTCTTAATACATGTGGTTCACACCTCATGGTAGTAACTCTGTTTTACGGAACGCTCATTTACATGTACATGAAGCCACAGAATGCCATGTCTCAGGAGGAAGGAAAGTTTTTTACCCTCTTTTACACAATTGTCACACCCACCCTTAACCCTCTGATCTACACTTTAAGAAACAAAGATGTGAAGGCTGCAGTGAAGAGAATACTGTGGTTCAAAAACTATTCAGCAAGATTGTGAATCACAAAAAAATAAATCAGTGTGTATAAAACAAAAGAAATGTTGATTTTTATTAACACAGAATTCACTTATCAAAGACTGTCCTTATATTTTTGAAATACTCAGTGACTGTATGTTATATGATTTTAAATGTAAATGAATAGGAAATGCAGGGAATACAAAGAATATAGACCCATGAATAAAACATGTCAGTTGTACATGTGTTTAGAAAGCATTAAGACTGTTGATTTTAGAGAAATATTATAGAGTATAATGGATAAGTTAGTATATGTAAAAATATTGTGTTTCACATGGACATCATTCCAATGTGAGATTTGTACTATGATTTTCTCTTCCTGACTGTATAAAATTATAAGAAATGCATTCCCCTTCATTCTCATAATTCTATCTGGTCAGCCCTGTGGAGGAGACTCCCTATCAATACCCTCCAGGCTCAATGATGTCTAAGTGGATTTGTGCCCATTGCAAGGAATACTACCTGCCCTACTATGACCTCCACCAGCACATACTAGGGAAGTCATGAGTACAAGCTCTGGGCCACCTTATTTAACATACATTCACTTATCCTCTGTGGGAATATAAGTGTGGAGGGCAATCAGCTCGAACCAGGCACAGAGCCATAGAGAGGAGATAATGGTCAGATAGAAGCACAGCAGCACCACAGGCAGGGCAGCACCTCTGGACCACAAAGGCAAACATCTTTCCCTGTGTGAGTACTTAGCTCAGCCTCTGGACTTTGGTTCTCTTGGTACAGTGGCCTGATGAGGACTGTGGGCTCCATGCTGGAGGGAACTGCAGTCCCTGGGCCAGATGTATCTCTCATGCCATCACCTGGTTGCTTTCCAGACATGCACATACTCGCTCCCACCCTGAGCTTCTGACCCCACAGTAAGGGCAGGGACTCGGCAACCATGTGGTGTTTTTTTTTTGTTGTTGTTGTTTTTTTTGTTTTTTTTTTTAATTTAAAGAAATAAACAAAACTAAATGAAGCAAGACAGTAAAAGGCTAGAAGCAACACAGAATTTCAAGAGAAAAAACATATAGTAAGAGTTCACCAGTTAATAGATCACACATTGTCATTTTACAAACAGTGTCCAGATTACAAAATTAAAGCATGCAAAGTGGAGATTAATACAGGGAGATTGCAGTCAGTTCTGTTCAATGATCCAAGAAAAACTCAGCAATATGGTTCTCTATCCTAACATTTAAATAAACTTGCAGTTATATCGTTTAGATCACCTTCCTTCCTCTGTTTTTTACACTAACAATCGTACATTTTAGTTTCCATTACTTCCACAGTATTTTTTAACTTTTTCTTTGAAGAGGAAAAGAAAAAAGATTGAAAAAAAGGGCCAAAAAACAAAAAACAAGACAAGACGGACGGAAGAAAAACCCAATGTGACAAAGCAAAACAGAGTCATTTAGATCAGGAAGATGGACATAGCATAAAATGAAAAAAAATTTTTAAAAATAAAAAATAAAGGGGGGGGGGATTACTAGGTGATCAACAATGGTTACCATTATGCCTCTTGTTATCCTAAAAAGAGTAGCCTATATCAGCTAGTATAAAACAATTGTACAAAACTATACATAAGACCAATAAAACCACATTGGAGAACTTACAGGATTCCAAAGAAGATAATTGTCAAATAACAATGGGCATCATAGAATATCTGGTTGCCTTCCAAATGGTTGCCTATACCCTCAAACTTGATACTATTAAGTGAAACAGAATATAATGAAATCAGTCAGAACAAGATATGGAGAACACTACAGGGGTTCAAATCAGGTTAATAGGAAAACAAAAAAAATTACTATAATCTATCGCACTATTTTTAATTTAGTTTTCCCTTAGTTAAAAGATACTAAGAAATAAATTAATTTTTTTAAAAAATGAAAGAAAAAGGGGAGGGAGACTGAGATTAAAAAAAAAAGACATCAATATAACAACACCAGTCAGAATCGAAAAATTTAACCATCATTGTGTTTCACCCCCAGAGAGCTTGACATTAATAGTAGTTACCATAGTGACTCTTTCCTTGAAATATTTGAGTCTAACTTCGTGTACTATAGCATCAAATTTATCAAGACAGTGTGAGACCGTTCAAGAGAATGAAATTATTGCAGAGTATTTAGAACCAGCTAGCAGAAACCAAACATCAATTTCTATATTATCTCTTTCTCTATAAAAAACTTGCTTATACTATCGCATATATTAAGATATAATAAGGTACCACATGTTAGAACCAATGGAAACAAATGAACAATTTGATGGGGCTTCAAAACAGGATGATATTAAATCAGCGCTAGCTATTACGCTCTTATTCTCTTCAAAATAGTTATTTGTAGTATCACAGACAATAAAATAAAACCACCCAAATTAAAACCATTCCAAGTAATGAGTGAAAACATTATATGGCTTCAAACCAGTGTGACTGGGAATCATGATTACCACATACTTTCATGTATTCTTATGGTTTCTTACACTAGGGAAACAATTCGGTATTTATACAGGCGAGTTTGATTTATTTCACTTATAAGTATGGTCTCGAGCTGCGTCCATTTATTTATAAATGTTTCAATGTGATCATTCTTTATAGCTGAGTAGTACTCCATTGAATAAAAATATCACAACTTTTTTTTATCCATTCCTCAGTTGATGGACACTTAGGTTGTTTCCAAGATCTGGCTATTACAAATTGTGCTGCTATAAACATGGGTGCACATATATCACTGTGGTATGATGCTTTCATTTCTTCTGGGAATATGCCTAGGAGTAGAATAGCTGGGTCAAATGGTGCTTCCAGTCGCAGCTTTCTGAGAAATCTCCAGACTGACCTCCACAATGGTTGCACCAGTCTACACTCCCACCAACAGTGCAGGAAAGTTCCTTTTTCCCTACAGCCTCTCCAACATTTGTTGGTGGTGGTTTTCTTGATCTTGGCCATTCTTTCAGGAGTGAGATGAAATCTCAGTGTGGTTTTAATTTGCATTTCTCTAATGACTAGTGATCCTGAACATTTTTTCATATATTTATTTGCCATTTGTATTTCTTCATCTGAAAATTGTTTATTCATCTCCGATGCCCATGTTTGAATGGGGTCTTTAAATTTTGGGAGTTGAAGCTTTTTTAATTCTATATATGCTTTAGACAAAAGTCCCTTGTCTGAGGAGGAGTTCACTAAGATCTTTTCCCAGTTTGTGGGTTTTCTTTTCACTATGCTGGAATTTTCTTTTGACATGCAGAAACCTTTCAATAAGAGGTGGTCCCAGTTATTGATTCTGGGAAGTATTTCCCATGTGGTGTGAGTCCTGTACATGAATTCTCTATACCCCTATGTCTTCAAGGTTTCTAATCAATTTGTCTTCCAATAGATTTAGTGTTTCTGTTTTAGTATTCAGATTTTTGATCCATTTAGATTTTAATTTAGTACATGGTGATAGGCATGAGTCTAGCTTCAGTTTTTGGCAAATGTAGAGCCAGTTTTTCCAACACCATTTATTAAAGAGACTGTCATTCTTCAAGTGAACCTGTTTGGCCCCTTTATCAAAGATGAGGTAGTTGAGTGTGTTTGTAGTTGTGGTTGTATCTTCTAATCTATTCCATTGGTCTTCGGCTCTGTTTTGATTCCAGTACCATGTTGATTTTACTACTGTTGCTTTGTAGTATAACTTCAAGTCACGGATTGTGAGGCCTCCTGCCTTGCCTTTGCTGCTTAGAACTGTCCTTGCTATTCTAGGTCTCTTCTGGTTCCAGATGAATTTTAGGATTGATTTCTCGAGATCTATGAGGTATGTTGATGGCATTTTTATCGGGATTGCATTGAATCTGTATAACAGTTTTGGGAGAATGGCCACTTTCACAATATTTATTCTTCCTATCCATGAGCAAGGGATGTCTTTCCATTTCCTGAGATCATCATCAATTTCATTTTTCAACGTATTATAATTTTCTCTGTATAGGTCTTTCACTTCCTTCGTGAGAGTAATTCCTAAATATTTCATTTTTTTAGTTGCTAGTGTGAAGCGTGTGGCTTCTCTTATTTCTCTCTCTGTGATTTTGTTGTTAGCATATAAGAATGCTATTGATTTTTGAGTATTGATTTTGTATCCAGCCACATTGCTGAATTTATTTATTATATCTAGGAGTCTTTCAATGGAATTTTGGGGGTCTTCTATATAGAGTATCATATCATCTGCAAATAGTGATAATTTAACTCCTTCTTTTCCTATCTTTACACCTTTTATTTTTCTTTCATGTCTAATTGCTCTGGCTAGTATTTCCAGTACTATATTAAATAGGAGCTGTGACAGGGGATGTTGAGGTAAAGACCATCTATTCAAATTTTCTGTAAGGTTCTGATCATAAATGAATGTTATACCTTATCAAAAGCTTTTTCTGCATCTATAGAAATGATCATGTGATTCTTACTTTTGACTCTATTGATATGGTGCATTACATTTTTTGATTTACGTATATTGAACCATCCATGCATACCTGGAATGAATCCCACTTGGTCATGGTATATAATCTTCTTGATGACTTGCTGCATCCTATTTGCCAATATTTTATTGAGGATCTTTGCATCTGTGTTCATTAGGGAGATTGGTCTGTACTTCTCTTTTTCAGTTGGTTCTTTCTCAGGTTTTGGTACTAGAGTAATATTTGCTTCCCGGAATGACTTAGGAAAGATTGCTTCCCTTTCAATTTCATTGAACAGTTTGAGGAGTGTCAGCATTAGATCCACTTTGTATTTCTTGTAGAATTCTGCAGTGAATCAATCTGGGCCTGGACTCTTCTTTGTAGGTAATGACTTAATTACATTTTCGATTTCATGAATAGAAATTGGGTTATTCAGCAGTTTTACTTCTTCTTGACCGAGCTTTGGTACTTCATATGCTTCAAGAAATCTGTCTATTTCTTCTGTGTTATCAAACCTTTGAGAGTAGAGGGTTTTGATATAGGTATTGATGATCTTCTGTATTTCTATTGGTCTGTA